TCCCAGCTATTTTAACCCTCTCATCTCTTCCACTGTGCTCTCCAACCACCCCTCTCCAAAACAAACATACCTGCCCAGGTACCCAATCCTTCCTATGTCTCTCTTGTCACAACAGAAGAGCTGATAAAGCCAATCCCTCCATCTAAGCTCTGGACCCCATTTCTCCCTGCCACACTCAGCCAGCATCTCACTCTCCTGTATCTTCATGTTTCTCACTGGTGACTACCAGCATTTAACTCTTTCCTCACTGAATACAACCCCCCCTGGACAACCCTCTGCCATTACAGCTACACTCCTCTGCCAACTGATTCCTTTGAAACACTTCTACCAGACTCACCAGTGACTTCATTCCTCAACCCTTCGTCTACTTAAGTTCACTGAAACACCTGACACGAGTGACAGCTTCGTCCTTCTGGAAATACTCCTTCCCTTGTGACACTAAATACTTCAAGTTTCCTCCTACTGCTCCAGCTACTAATCTATAAGTGTCTGAAATGCTAGAATTTCTCAAAGTTCCAACCTCTTCTTCCTACATACTTGCTGTGTTCTTTTCCCCCACAACCTCAATTCACCTCTACACTGATAACCCTCCAATCTGCATGTCTGGCTGGTATTGTTCTCCTTTGCTCCAAATCTATGTAAACACCCACTGCCTTCCTTACCTCTCTAGTTTCATGTCCCAAAATCATCTCCAACTCAACTTGTTAAACCCCTAGTTTCTCTATTTTTCCCTTCTCCCCACCCCAACCACCAAAACTTGGTGAAATACTCCCTAAATGTCCTCTAAATGGTCCCACTGCTCTCTATCCACTGTTTCTTTTTTTCTTAAATATATTTTATTGATTTTTTTACAGATAGGAAGAGAAACATCGATGAGAGAATCATCGATCAACTGCCTCTTGCACACCCCCTACTGGGGATGTGCCCACAACCAAGTACATGCCTTTGACTGGAATCGAACCCGGGGCCCTTCAGTATTGAGGCAGATGCTCTATCCACTGAGCCAAACTGATTTCAGCTCTATCCACTGTTTTGATCATCTCTTCTGCATTAGTGCATGCCGCCTTCCCAGTCTGTTCTTCCATGTAATCCTTCCACATGACAACCAGTGAGTTTCTCTCAAATCTGCTCATTTTGCTCCCTGCTTAAGGCCCTTTCATGATGCCTCACTGTGCTTGGGTTAAGTCCAAGCTCCTGAACACCAAGCTCTTTGCGGTCTGGCCTCATCATCCATCCATGCAGCACTATGGGAAACGGACTGCTCACGGGTTCTGTAGGACATCACCCTCACTCTTGCACAGGCTGCCCTTTCTCCTTGCTGGCCTTTGGCCCTAGAGCTCTACTCATCTCTGCCTCAGCTCACCTCCACTCAGGCTTCCCCCTCACTGACTACGTGCCTCATTTCTGCTCCTACTGCACCTGTGCTGTGCCGGAAACAGATCACTATCTCATTAATAGAAAGATGTGGACAGGAAACCCAGAAGGCTGGTCAACAAACTTAATTGCTCTAACCACTTAGTTGAAACATTGTTAGCTAAAGCAGCCTCCACCTGTTAGTCTTATATAAATTATTGCTGATTGACTATTATTGTGATTTCCTGCCTAAAGGATATGGGTGTATCCCATAACCTTAATAAAATGGATAGCAAAGCCAGAGCGGGGTGTAGTCCTCCCTCTAGAAGTGGGCTCCCCCTTGGCCCCCAATATTCCCAAATAATACTTTTCTAGTCTCTTTCATTTGTGTGTGGCCTTCTCCAGAACCTGAACTCTGAACCATGTGGGACCTGAAAGGGGTTCCCACAGTGCTACCTCATCCCTTATAGTGTGCTGGCCTATAAATGATAGGTTTTCTCCATGAGACTAGAAGCTCTATCAGAGCAGGAAGAGGTATGTCTTGGGTATCAGACCAGGCCCTGTGCAAAGTCTGGCAGAATTTGTTGAATGATAGAAACAAGGAGAGGTAGACAGAAAACAAGTAAAGCCAGAAATGACACACAAATATATACCATGAAGTCCTAACAAGGTTTTCTATGAGTATGGTCTTTGGCTTTCTAGCGGCCCATTCAAAGAAGGGCAACATGGTCAATCACACCAATGAGTACATCCACAAAATGTCAATGGCTGAGGGGCCTTGTGAAGGGGCCATAGTACAATATACGAGCCACATCCACAAGTAATATCCCTGTAGCCTTGTGTCTGAGCTGCATGTATTTGGATCTTACCTTCCACACTCTAGTTAGCTCCCTGAAACAAGTGGTGCCTATATCTCTTTTTCCTACGGAACCTGGCACAACACCTTCAACAGAGCTCAACAAATTACTACTACGTGAATGAATTTAAGCACCTCGGCAAAAACAAACAAAATCCAATTCATTAATCCTGAACCCTTAACACCTACCAAATATGATAGCAAATTCTCCTTCCACACTTGCCAATAAGGTCATTAGGAATTCCTAAGCCTATCCCAAAGGGATCCTGCCACAAGATGAGACAGTTTCAAGCTAATGACAGAGACCAGGAAGTTCCAGAGGGAATGCCCACGTGACCCGGGCTCACCTGTTGACACCTTCCAAGGCTGACATCACACTGTCATCAATTTGCAGCACAGTCTTGTAGTCCACGTAGGCCAGAGGATACTTCTCCAGGGCCTCATAGGCCGATGCTCGCCGCAGCAAGGGCTTCATGCTGAAGGGAGCCAAGGCCAGTGCTCTAGAGCAGGAGGCAGAAAGGTCATCTGGCGGCTAAGTCACCAGGGCTCTCCCAACAGCCCGTCCAGGCAGGCTCAGCTACAGTATTCTGTAATATAGGGGTCATTTCTGGCACAGAGACACTACTAAAAAGGTCAAACCTTGCAAGAGGGACTTTTCAACTTAGACTGAAGTAGAGAAAGGAAAGAGAGCAGAGTGCCACTAATACAGTGAAAGTTGTATGCACATGCATCAGTTTTCATAGTTGCAATACCCCCAAAATCAAGAACAAGTACCTTGTACCTTTTATGCTTCTATGTTTCCAAAGAATGGTGGCCTAATGGGAATGCCATAGAGACTTTGGAGTGGTGTTTGAATTCTACCTCTGCCATTAACCTTGTGATCCCAGGCAAATCACTTACCACCTCACTTCTCTGCAGCCCAGTTCTAACCTGGCACTAATCAACTTAGCACAGGCTCCATGAGCACACTCACCTCTCTCATCTATCACCAAGGCATGGATCTAAGGCAATGTCACAGGATATCAGATCTAAGAACACATTAAGCTATGCATCCTAGTTTAGTGATGGTGAAAGAGGCAACACCAGACTTGCCTAAAGAAGAAAGAAGTATGAAAATTTGTTTAATGTCCTCTATACCTAGTCATTGATGAATACCATTTCCTCCTTTCTCCTTGCTCCTTTCCCTGTCTCTACCTTCCTCTCTCACATATATCCACCAAAAACAAACAAACAAACAAACAAACAAAAAAACAACCCAAAAAACCTGGGCAAGCCACTAACTAGTCTACAACTCTACCTCAACTCCAGGTCCCAAATCTCACAAAGGCCACCTGTAAGTACCCATCCTAAGAGCAACGGAGCCAAGCCCCCAAAGATACAAGACAGGGGCCAGAGAGATCAAGTATGCTCCGTGACCTGGGAACAGGCACACTTCCTAGTGTCTGTCACAGATGTAACTGGTGGGATCAGTCAAAGAAGAAACAGGCCAGATAAACCCAGCTTCCTCTTCTGAGGCCCTCAGACACCCCAAAGTTTCTTGACTGCTTACGAAGTGCAATCTTTGATGCAATCTCTGCAGTTCCCATCCTTCAAGTGGCATGCCGCCCGGTTGGAGTAGAGAACACTTTCTTCTTTATAGTCCACAGAACCTGCCCAGGTGGAAACAGAAACATGAGATTAAAAATTTGGGAAATGGATGCCTTGGGGCACAGAGTGCATTTCACTAAGAGCTCTCTGGGCTTTGGTAAAAAGGAGCAGAGATACTGTAACCAGATCAGGCTGGCTGGTTTGATAGGCTGGCAAGTTCACCATTAGCACTTGGCAGCAAGAACACCAAGCATCTTATTCAGTCATGCCAGCACTAAACTTGGTACCAGGCAAAAAATGAACAGGAAATATTGTAGCTAGCTTCTGTCTCAAAGAAATCTATAGTGTGTTGTGTGTTAATTTTATTACAAAAACAACAATATGTAAAGATACAGATCTTGCAACACAGAAATCCACACCTGAAACCTGTATGTTCATGTTGACTAATGCCACCCCAAAGAATTTTATAAATAAAGCCATGGTTCCCCCACCCCCACTCCACCCCAAAAAGAAAACATGTAAATCATACAAAGAAAAACAAAAGGAAAAGATATTGATAGAAGACAGAGACTAATTCTACCTGCTCAAATCAGACAGGACTTTGCTAGGGAAAACTTAATTGGGGAAGGACTCAAGCTCCCCAATGGGGCGGAGATTTATCAGACATTTCTCTAAGGGCAGTCCTCACCTTTAGGAATATCAAAAGCTCGTGTCCTTTATTGTGGCCACAATAATATTCAGTTTTAAAAATATTTTTTCAACCACTGCATACCCACTAACTAGCATGGGCCGTAGTGAAAAAATAAATGAAAAAGAAACTATTATGTGTTGACCCAGTAATTCCACTCCCTGCTACCCTGTTTCCCCAAAACTAAGACAGTGTCTTATATTAATTTTTTCTCCCAAAGTAGCGCTAGGTCTTATTTTCATGGGATGTCTTATCTTTCCATGAGCTAGGTCTTATTTTCAGAGGATGTCTTATTTTCGGGGAAACACGGTATATACCCAAAATAATTGAAAACAAGTTCTCTTTTAAAAATTGTACCATGCCGAAACCGGTTTGGCTCAGTGGCTAGAGCATCAGCCTGCAGACTGAAGGGTCCTGGGTTCGATTCCTGGATTTGAATGTACCTTGGTTGCGGGTACATTCCCACTGGGGGGTGTGCAGGAGGCAGCTGATTGATGTTTCTCATCAATGTTTCTAACTCTCTATCCTTCTCCCTTCCTCTCTGTAAAAAAATCAATAAAATATATATATTTTTTTAAATAATTTTTTTTTTAAATTGTAAAACATGCAGAAAACAGTGTAACAAATACCCAGTATCCATCACTAGGCCTAGCATATATTATATTTGTTTCCAACCTTTAAAAAATTTTTTATATGGCTATCGCTCCACTCATCCCCATCCTTTCCCTTGTTGTCCCCAGAACCCCAGATGTCAGCACAATCCTGAAGTTGGTATATAACATTCTCATCCATGTTTGTCCATCTTTATTATATATGTAATCACAGGTTAAGATATATCTTTCAAAGCTTTTCCTAAGCAGCACTCTATTGTCTATCCTTCTGCAACTTGCTTTTTTCTCTACGTATGTTACCATATTGATGCATATCTTTCACTCAATACCAACAGTAACAAACAATAACATAACTTTTTTTCCTTATTTTGCCAGGCCCTGAGTGAGAAGCAATGTACAGAGAAGTAAAATATATCCTTCCCCTTAAGGAGCAAGTACAAGCACTCAAGACCTGTAATCCATCTCAAGTCCCCAGAACACGGTGCTCAGCAGCAGCAGTGGTGTGGTGGGAAGGGCACTGGAACCTGCAATCCAGCCTGAGACATTGCACAAGTCACTGACTCCCTCTGATAGGTGCTCACCTACCACATGAAGGTATCACTTCACACACTTGCTAGAAGGGTTCAGTGTGCTGGGTTAATCCCTGGTTTTCTTTTCAAACAGAAAAATTAGAGAAATCAAGGAATTTGCCCAGAGATTATCTAGAAATGAGTAAGAACCAAACTCTGGTCCCCTACTATCATAAATCTAGATACCATGACAGCTCTTCTAGGGACCCAGAATGAAGCCACACAAAAACACATACTATTCCAGGCAAGCTAGGGTAGGATGGAAAAAGATGGAGGAAGTATCAATATCTCAGATTATTCAGCAACCTCAAGTGAGGCTGAGAGGAGCAGGTGGGCCTAAAAAGGAGTGTTCTAGAACAAAAGAAGGGTGCAAGAGTGGTTTGAAACTGCAGAAGTTCAAAAAGACTACAATTTGCAAAGGACTTGGGGAGAAGTCTAGCAAAATGATGAAAAACTTGGACTTGGGAATCAGGCCCAGATTAAAATCCTGCCTATGACATGTCTTCATTGTATAATCCTGGAGCAGGCCAATTTAACTCCTCTTTACTCATCTATAAAGAGTCTTTTTATTTTTTATTGCCAGATGGCAGAATTTTATGGTTTAATTAACACAAATACAATGTGTACACATCTGTCTATTCATTTTCTTTGCTGCGCAGTCTGGCATCGATGTTGGAAGCTGGGCTGCTTTTCCACATGATTTTTTTTCTTTTTTAAAATTATTTTATTGATTTTTTTACCTTGAGGAAGGAAGATGAGAGAGAAACATCGATCAGCTGTCTCCTGAACACTCCCTACTGGGAATGTGCTCACAACCAAGGTACATGCCCTTGACCAGAATCGAACCTGGGCACTTTCAGTCCGCAGGCCGACACTATCCACTGAGCCAAACCGGTTTCAGCTATTTGATTTCTTGTTGCTCCCATAACCAAGGCTGGGCATCAAGATCCAGCCTTGAACCTTCTGCACACTGTTGTCCATTAATACCTGAGTTTCTGCTAGTTTCACTTAATTTTGACATAATTGGTCTGACTGGTGTTGGATTAACTTCTTGATCCTCTTTTTGACGATCTTAGGTTTCACAGAGGGTCTGGGGGAGTGGCTGTTAACCTCCGTAGGCAGTGCTGAGAAGAGTATAAAGTGTCTTATCATAGGTTAGTATAAGGACATAAAGGGATACTGTCTAGCACACAGTAAATCACCCAACAAATGCTAGCCAAAAAAATGAGGAAGAGAAGAGGCAAAGGGAAATGGGCACTACAGAAAAGGGATCCCAATGAGGGCTCCTTGCTAAGACACTTGGGAGAAGAGGTTTTGGGCAAAGGGCTGCTGACTTGAGCTAAGTCTGGGAGAACGCGTAAGAATATGTTAGTCCTCTGCTAAAAACTCTCTGAATAAAACCTCCTTACCATGACCTGTTGTGTAAAATGTCTACACAATAAGGTTCTGCCTGTATAACTGACCTCATCCCACTTCTCCCTCCACTAGCTCAGTAGGCTTTGGCTCCTGGAACACACACCATGCTTCTTCGCCTCGGTGCCTTGTCCAGGCACACCTCAGAGAATGTGTGGGTCAGCTCCAGCCCACCACAGCAAAGCGAGTAGTAATCTTTTTGCTGGTGGAGGATCCTGTCTTCCACTTGTAAAAAATCGCAACATCTGTGAAATACAGTAAGAGGATATGCCTGTAATTGCAGTTCCCTCCACCTGAAAAGCTCAGCACCAAAACTGTGCACCTGGCTTCTTCTCATTATTCAAATGTCACCTCTTCAAAGCTGTCCTTGACCCCCACATTCTAATGGAGCTCCCTACTCAACTCTACCACACCACCGTATTTGTCTTCTACGTACCCCTAATAGTTATGGGATGAGTCTTATTTACTAGCATGAGATCCACCCATCCCTCCAAAACAAGAATGATCATCCAAAAGAATTCAAAGCAGGACCTTGGAGATTAAAAACAAACAAACAAACAAACAAACAAACAAACAAAGTGGTATAGCATTGCAATGGAATATAATCGGCCCTAGGCGGTTTGACTCATTGGATAGAGCAGCAGCGGACTGAAAGGTCCGGGGTTCGATTCCAGTCAAGGGCACATGCCTGGGTAGCAGGCTCCAGCCCCAGTGGGGGGGAGGGTGCAGGAGACAGGCGATCAATGATTCTCGTTGATGTTTCTATCTCTCCCTCTCCTTCTCTGAAATCAATTAAAAAAAAAAAAATATATATATATATATATATAAAAGAATGTATGATCCTTGAGAGAAAGGGCCTTCGCTGCCTTGTTAGACACTCAGTACATACAGTTGCTCAACAAGTAATAATTTACTTGAAGAATAAATGGTTAAGGAGAAAGTGAGTTGAGCTATGTATCTGCAGGGGTCGGAATGAGGCCTGAACAACAGGTTGGGAGCCAATAGGACATTTAAAAAGCAGGCAACTCATACCTATCAGGGTGGCCAACTATCAAAAGAACAGAAAAGAAGTGCTGGTGAGGATGCTGAGGAGTTGGAACCATTATGCACTGTTGATGGGAATGTAAAACGGTGCGGCGACTATGGAAAACAAAACTACTATATATGATCCAGCAATCCCACTTCTGGGTATTCATCCAAAAGAATTCAAAGCAGGTCCTCGGAGATTCAAACAAACAAACAAGCAAACAAACAAACAAAAATGTGGCATAGCCTTGCCATGGAATATTATGCGGCCTTAATAAAAGGAAATCTGCCACATGCTACAACATGGATTATAATGTCCTTTTTTCCAATATCTAAAGACGTTAAAATCATAGATACAGGCAGAGGAAAGGTACACGGAGAGCTGACGGAAGGGGAATTCGCGTTCAGAGGGTGTTGAGTTTCGGTGCGGCAAGATGAGAAAGTTCTGGCGATCTGTTGCACAACAATGTGAATAATATTACACACTTCACAGTCTACTTAGAAACGACTAAGATGGCAAATGTAATTTTTTTTTTTTTTTTTTTTTTTTTACTATAACCAACAAGTGATAAAAGAATCTATTCACAGGAAAATGTTTCTGACCTGTCACTCAGTGGGAAAGAAGCAGTAATAAAACCATGTGACTCCCCCCCCCCCCCCCAGGGGGAAGGAAGGGCCAGGGAAGTTCCTCGCAGGATGCGCACGCGGGGCCGGGCGGGAGGGCTGGCGGGCGGCCGGCCTCGGGGAACAGGGGCCGCGGGAAGGCAGGGGCGGCGCGGGCGGGCGGGCTCTGGGGGCGCAGCCGGGGCCGGGGCGCCGGGGGAGGGAAGCGGCCCCGGGGAGAGAACGGGGCGGCGGGTACCTTGCTCCTGCATCACCCGCAGCGCGCGGCTGTAGAGCGCGGCGGCCTCGGAGAACTGGCCGTTGCGGAAGCTCTGGTTGCCGGCGGCGCGCAGCCGCTCCACAGAGTCCGAGAGTTTGGGGGCCATCCTGGGGTCCGGCGGCAAATGGCGGCCGCCTCGGCTCCCGCCGCCGAGTCTTGCGGAACGGCGTGGGGGGCAGAGGAAGGGGGGGGGAGAGAAACACCGGCAGCGAGCGCTTGGTCGCCGGGTAACCTGCCGGGAGGGGGCGGGGCCGAGCGGGCGGAGGCGGGGCCTGCGCGAACCCGGGGCCCGTGGCGCCGCCCTCTGCGCAGGCGCGTGCGCAGGGCGGGGCTAACGTCGCGGAAGCGCGATCCGCCCTGAGCGGTAGGGGGGCTCCTGGAGCTGCTAGGATGCCACGCGTGCAACCGTGCTAGAGGCCCGGTCTCTGCTCACAAGCGCTTGCATGCACGTGGGACCTGGCAGGCAATTAACCCAGGAGCACATACAGAGGAAAACACTGTGTTATTATTAGTACTGTAAGGAAAACACTCCTGCACTAGCAACGGGCCAGGTGGAAACTATTTTCCATAAGGGGGTGGGGAAGGCATCTCGGAGGGACTAGTAATGGAGCTGAGACCAGAGAATATTAGGGCAGGCAGAGGGATAGCAAAACTCAAGGCCCTACTAACCGGTTTGGCTCAGTGGACAGAGTGTTGGCCTGCAGACTCAAGGGTCCCAGGTTTGATTCTTGTCAAGGACATGTACCTTGGTTGCAGGCACATTCCCAGTGGGGGCTGTGCAGGAGACAGCAGATGGATGTTTTTCTCGCTCATCCATGTTTCTATCTCTCTCCCTTCCTCTCTGTAAAAAATTATATATATATATATATATAGAGAGAGAGAGAGAGAGAGAGAGAGAGAGAGAGAGAGAAAGAGAGAGTGTTAAGGCCCTGAGGCTGGAAACGAACTGTCACCTGGAGCTTTAGGGACACTGACTTAATAAATGAATGCACTGAGAAGTTGATAAAGATCTTCCGCTGAGAGAAACAGCTTATCTTCAGCCTCTTCTGACTTAATGTCCCACTTAAAATGTTTAACTGCTTGTTGCTACCTGCATACAGCTGTTTCTCTTACTCCCTAACCTTTGGGTATGCTCTCCTCTCCTGGATTCTCCCCCCACCTCCCAACACTTTTTCTTTTGCTTTATCCAACCTATAATCAACTCAAATATCTCATCTGAAGCCCTTTCCTGAATACTCCTCCCCTCTTCCATTATGTCCCTCCTCTGCTCCTATTCCTCCTGAGGTTTATCCCTAATTTAGCACTTACCCTGTTTCTCTGAAAATAAGACATCCTCTGAAAATAAGACCTACTTACAGGTTTCCTTCTGAGTGAAATATAAGGCATCCCCCAAAAAATAAGGCCCCCCCTAGGCTAAATATGAGAGATTTGGTCCACTGATTTTGAAAGAAATGGAGTCACAAGAAATTCACCAGGAAATTCAGGAATTGGATTGCTATGATGTTCCAGAAGATGATGACATGATTGTCATTGAATAAATGAGTAAATTCTTGATACTGTAGGATTCACAGTTTGTCTGGTTTGTGTTGACAACTACCATACTACCGTACCGTATACAGGTAATAAAATTCCTTTATTTTCATTTAACAATAAATGTGTACCGTATTCTTCTTCATGGAAAAATAAGACATCCCCTGAAAATAAGACCTAGCGCATCTTTGGGAACAAAAATTAATATAAGACACTGTCTTATTTTTGGGGAAACAGGGTAGTACTCTGATTGCCCGCTTACAGTTTTTTTCCCCAAAGACTTTGAATTCTTTAAAGGTAGGAAGTATGATAAGTCTTGATCTTTGCTCTCCAAGACCTAGTAGAACCTGGCACAATCTGGTCTCTGCTCTGAGGAATCTAGTTATAATTATTTAAATTCTGTGAACTGAGGGGTAGGTGACTGTTGCAGCTGAATCCTCGACCCAGCTGAGGCCCATAAAAAAGGAAAGAATGAACACTTAATGTGGTGGGGAAACCAGATGAGACACACACAGCTGGCTATCTACTCAATATATCCATTTTCACTTCTGGCATCGAAATTTGCCAGAGATTCTCCTGGCCCAGGAAATGATTCAAGATGTCTTTCAACTGTTAACCAAAGATCATCACTGCCAATTTAACCCAACATAAGTCCCCCAATTTGAGGGGTGGTAAAGGTGGGAGGGGGGCACGCAGGATATCTTCAATGAAAACTGCTAAACTGTGAAACATCTCAATGGTGAGGTGGGCTGGGCATGAGGCAGCTCTGGTGTTATGGCTCTGGCCAAGTAAATGCAGCACTTACTGGAAACCAAAAGCCAGCCTCAGTGTGGAAGCTGGATTTATATAAAGAAGAGTGGCCACCCTCAGCCACTGATTGGCCCATTTCTATGCAGATAAGGACTCCAAATCTTCACTGTATGATTGGTCTGAATAGCACTATCCTAATTGGTCAGAATGGAGCCACTCTGATTATTCAATAAAGATACAAATAAGGCCGAAACTGGTTTGGCTCAGTGGATAGAGCGTTGGTGTGCAGACTGAAGGGTCCCAGATTTGATTCCAGTCAGGGGCATGTACATTGGTTGTGGGCATGTCTCCGGTGGGGGTTGTGCAGGAGGCAGCTGGTCGATGATTCTCTCTCATTGATGTTTCTGGCTATCTATCCCTCTCCCTCTCTGTGAAAAATCAATAATATATATACATACATATACATATACATATGTATGTATATGTATATTATTGATTTTATTGATTTTTTTACAGAGAGGAAGAGAGAGAGATAGTTACAAATATTGATGAGAACCTGCCTCTTGCACACCCCCCACCAGAGATGTGCCCACAACCAATGTACATGCTCTTGACCAGAATCGAACCTGGGACCTTTCAGTCCGCAGGCGGACGCTCTATCCACTGAGCCAAACCGGTTTTGGCAATAAAATATATATATTTTAAAAAAGATACCAAATAAGTATTGAGCTGTGCAGCTCCTATTGGTAGAATTTCAATCCAGGAATTCCTATATAAGGGCCAGCTCAGATAGTAAGAACACAACGCAGTAGGCAGGTCATGCTTTCCCTGAAGCTTGGCATGAGAGATCCCTGTTTAGCACCAGCTGCTAGGCTCTTTGTAAATTTGAGCCCAATTGGCCACCAGGAGCCCTTCTTAACAGGCACAGAGTTGACATTACCAACAACAACAATCTCATTCTCTTTTGCCAGCGATTGAGAATGTGATCTGACCTGACCAATGAGGTAAGAGGATGTCTGCTGGGTGCTCATGGGGCAGTTTTTGTTTTTTTCTTGAAAAGAGAGATACAGGACTTTGAGATAGCCTTTTTGCTCTTTTTCTTCTTTTGGTAGTATTGGGTTAAGGACATAATTCTGAGTTGTGGTTGCCATTGTGTGTGTGTGTGTGTGTGTGTGTTGTGTGTGTGTTTAACTCCTGGGAGGCATTTTTATTTATGTATTTATTTGTTATTTATTGATTTTTTTTTGCTCTCACTAGCTTCCTAACCTATAAACTGGGGATAATAATGATTACTTCATAGTATTGTTTTAAGGACCAAGTGACAATCTAGTACCTTATAGAAGGTTTTCCTCCTATGTCAGGGCAATGGCTCCATTATCTCATTTTTAGAATATGGAGTGCCATATCTGGGTAGCCCTCAAAGTTGTTTGCTCAGGTGTTACGTTTCAGAGATGGCATAGGGGAAAAAGAGGACAATTAACAACAATGAAATGTTGCTCTGGTGCTCCTGTCACTACCCTCGCCCCCCCCCCCCCCCCCCCCCCGGGTAAATTGGGTGGCATCTGCCTTTTTCCTAACACTCACTGACTGTGATGGCAACTGAAGACGCACCAATGGCAACAGTTTAAACTGGAGCTCAGAGAGGAAAGGAAGCTTTCTGACTCACATGTTCAATTAGCAGGTCCATCTCAGTGGTTGTCAGTTTGGTGGTGCAGGCTCTAGAGCACATGTGTCAAACACAAGGCCCGAGGGCCAAATCCGTCCCGCCAGGCCTTGCAATGTGGCCCGCATCGCGCTGTCATTACTGCACTCCGCTGCGTTTCCATCACAATGACAGTTTATGACTGTTCAGTAAGCCATTCGGCCCGCGATTTAGGCTGGATTTTAGATTTTGGCCCCTTCTCTGATTGAGTTCGACACCCCTACTCTAGAGTCAGACTTGAAATTCCTAACCCTACATTATTAGCTCTGCGCTCTTCATCTCTGTGCCTTGGGAGAGAGTCATACTAGCGTACTCACCTTGTAGAGTTGGTCGGAGTATTAAATGAGTTAATATTAGTAAAGCACCGAGAAGGTAGTAAGCACTGGGTTAAGTACACAAAACTGAGGCTAACGTTACAGGCTTGATAAAATGATTAAAGGAGATAACATTCGAAAGCGAGGACCTAGCAAGAGCTTAATAAGCATTAGCTATTTTTTTTTAAATATATTTTATTGATTTTGAACAGAGAGGAAGGGAGAGAGATAGAGAGCTAGAAACATCGATGAGAGTCATCGATCAGTTGCCTCTTGCACACCCCCTACTGGGGATATGCCCGCAACCAAGGTACATGCCCCTGTCCGGAATCGAACCAGGGTCCTCTCAGTCCCCAAGCCGACGCTCTATCCATCGAGCCAAACCGGTCCCGGCAGCATTAGCTATTTTTATGTCTGCCAAGTGACCCAAAGGTGAGGCAGTTGACAGGGGGTTGGGGGGAGCTTGGGCAATTTGCAGGCTGAGGCTCTGTGGCATGCGATGACAGGGTACACAGGGTCCAGCCTCCATTTGGAAGAATGCAACCGGGTCAGAAAGCTAGAAAACCACCCATACCTCCAGGAGTCCCTGGAGCAGCGCTGCCCAGGAAGCTTGACTTATTAAGAATCCGCAGTTCTTATCAAGCCGGCGCTTCGCAGGGAGTCTCGGCTTCTCCGTCTGAGAAACGAGGGGTCGGGGTTGAGGCAGAGAGGGGTTCCGGGCCTGGGGACCCTCTCTGCCATGGGCAAATAGCGTCGCAACGAGAAAGCATCTCTGAGTCCCGAGCCAACATCTTTTAGTCCCCAGCCGGGCTTACAGCGCTCAGATGAAGAGCCTTCGACAGTTCCGGGGCCACGCCCCCTGCGCACCACGTGACGCCGGCGCCTCACGGCCCCGCCCAGCTCCCCGCGCCTCTCGCCGCTTCCGGTGTGGGCGGAAAGCGGAAGTGTGGGAGGGTCTGCGGGGCGTGCTCTGGGAGGTCCTGGGGGAGGATGGAGCAGTGAGTGAGTCTGGGCGGCTGCTGGCAGCGCCATGGAGACGGTGCAGCTGAGGAACCCGCCGCGCCGGTGAGGGGCCACTGGCTGGGAGGAAGGGGACGGGGGAGGGAATGGGAGCAGACGGAGGAGAGACACCGAGTGCGAGGTTCCTCTCCCCGCCCCCCCACCGGGGTGGGGGGAACAGGGACCTGCGGGGCGTGGCGACCCGGCTGATGGGACACCTGCTAAATGGGGGGACTTCTGGCGGATTGGGGTACAGAGGGCAGCACGCGAGGAAGGGATCAACGTGGGGCCGGTTAGGGAGAGCCCTGGCTGTGGGAGACATTCTAGGGCAATGCTAAAGGGAGCAACTGCTGCGGAACCTGGAGACAAGTTAGGGAGAGCACCTGCTCAGGCGAGTGGAGGAGGTGTTCTGGGGGGAAGGCTGTCCCGGAAGGGACTCTCTGAGAGATGGGGAATGCTGAAGTAAGATGAGATCTTGTGAGGGGGTCCGTCTCTGGGTGGATCCGGACCAGCAGAGAGGAGGGCTGGGTGGACTCCCGTCAGGGAGGAAGTCCCACCGGAGAGGGGCAGTGCGGGAGGGAGGACCTGATGAGGGGAAAGCTTTGCTCCTAAGGCTGAAGGTGTACTGTGAAGGGAAACCAGGGAAGGCTTCCAGGAGGATAGCATGTAGGAAAGATGCTCTTGGTTGTGTCCTTACTCTGTCCTGATGATGGCAATCTTTCATTCCTGATATCCTCACATGCTAGAAAGCTAGATACCACCAGTACCTCCAGGAGTCCCTGGAGCAGCGCTTTTTATACGCCTCATATGCTCCACAGCCCTTCAAAACCCAATGTTGGGAGGCAGATGAGGAAATAGAATGTTTTCAAGATGGGCACCTTGAGGCCTAGAAGATTTGAGACACAGTCATGTGAGCTCCCTTCTTTGCTCTTAGGTCTGGGTCACTGAGCCCTTCTCAGGCCTCTATTGTTTTGTGAGTATCAGCTCCAGATCCTACAGCCACCTGGAACTGTTTAAAGTCAAGATCAGGAAGGTGGCTGAGCCTAGAACGTCTGAACTCCTGGGTTGGTTGCAGTGGTATCATTGATTTGCTCTGCGGGCACCAGGGTCTTATGCCCGTCACCCTGCCACATCTGGAGAAGAGCAGACAGTAGAGACTGAGGGAGTCATGCTTCTCTGAGGAGCAGCATAGTTCGCTACTGTTTCACAGAGACCTCTGACTTCCTGCAGCAGAATGAGCACTGAAGTAGGAAGTGCTCGGTGCGTGGGAGTGTGAGGCAATGGAGAGGTGAAGGGAAGGGATTGGCAGCCGGGGCTGCACACTTAGGGTTTGTTTTTGAAGTGCACAAACACTGCAGGAGGCAAATAGCTGGTTGGGATAGACTCAGAATTCACCCTGCTGTGATGTGCTGAGACAGAGATAATAATGATTATTAGCACTCACAGAGCACTTACTGAACGCCAGACCCTGTTTTTGGTGCTCGCTTTGTCTCCTGTTGAACCATATGGAATTGCTGATATTTGACCGTTTTTGACCTGTAAAAAATGGTAATTTTATATTCAATTTATTATTGACACATTTGGTCCCCACAACCACTCCATGTGGTGGCTATTTCTGTATCTAGTTTACAGGTGATAAAACTGAGGCACATGCCGAAACCGGTTTGGCTCAGTGGATAGAGCGTTGGCCTGTGGACTCAAGGGTCCCGGGTTCTATTCTGGTCAAGGGCATGTACCTTGGTTACAGGCACATCCCCAGGAGGGTGTGTGCAGGAGGCAGATGGCCGATGTTTCTCTCTCATCGATGTTTCTGGCTCTCTGTCCCTCTCCCTTCTTCTCTGTGATAAATCAATAAAATATATTTTTTAAAAAAAACAAAACCCAAAACTGAGTCACAGAAATGTTAGTGATTTGTTTGGGGTCCCACAGTTAGTACGTGGCAGAGCTGGAGTTTTAATCCAGGCAGTGTGGCCCAAAGTTCATGCTTGTAGCTGCCTCTCTGGGAAGTACCCCTATTTCACAGGACCGTATGTATGTCAGCAAGATCTGCAACAGCACCATAGTGATTTAGTCATAAATGCACACTGGTTATGTTTTTTTCCAAAGCCTTCTCCAAGGCTTCAGTTTAATTGAAAGATGTTTAGGCATCTGAGTTTTGTTTCTACCTTTGCCTTATGCTGTGTAATCTTGGGCAAAAGAGTAAGGCTTTTTGTTTTTTGATACTTATTCCTCCGCCTTTTGGATTAAAAAAAAAATTATTAAATGTGCAAGAGAAGAGCATTGAAGGGCTGAATTTTCAAATGAACTGTGCCTTCTTGTTCTCTTAACTAGTGAACTGCCTACTCTGTAGCAGATTAACTTGATCATCATTTGTACTAGTCTTTGGGTAGGGCTGCCGTGTCAGTTTCACAGACTGGGTGACTTAGACAACAGAAATTCATTTTCTCGTGGTTTTGGAAGCTAGAAGTCTGAGATTAAGGCATCGGTAGGATTGTACCTTTTGAAGCTTGTCTTCTTTGTTTGTAGACAGCTGTCTCCTTTCTATGTCTTCATATCGTCTTCCCTTTGTACCCATCTGTGTCCTCATCTGCTTTCTGAAGGACACTAGTCATGTTGTATTAGGGCCTACCCAGATGACCTGATTTTACACTAATGACCTCGTTAAGGCCCTGTCTCCAAATACTATCACCTTTGGAGGTACTTCAACATATGAATTTGAGGGGTCAGGGAGCACATTACTTTTATTATCATTAACAACTTCATCAATTTATCTTATTTATATTTGTTGTAACCCATCCACATTGAATACTGTGTGGAAAGAAGCATGGGTATACATAAATAAAATGAACCTTACTAGAGTTCTAAGTTGGGAGAAAGAAGTTTGAGATTTAGCCAAACCTATAAGTAACTATTTCATAAAACACCCTTATTTGGGTTGGAAAGGTACAGGTGTCTTTTCCGAGGTTCAGACTGTATGTGTTCCAAGCAATCCCAAGTAGGAAATGCTCTCTTGTGCTCGTGAGTTTGACATTTGTGTGTGACTGAGTGATGGGTTAAAGTTGATGGTTATGTAGAAGGTTGATAGATTGTGAGTTGCCATTAGATAATAGTGTGGCGGAAGGTGTAGAGTGCATTTCTGGGATGCTGATCATGCACGTGGCCATCTGACTTAGGAGAAGAGCATCTGCTGGTATTTGGTCCGTGGAGGCTGTTTTGGCCACGCCTGTTCGGATCTGAGTAAGCCGTGAAACTACCTAGGACCTGGGCCAGTCCCAGCTGAGAGAGCTGAATCATCCGAGTTGGGCTGTTATAAATGAAGATTCATGGTACAAAATGTCATTAAGTCACTTATCAAAAGATTTTTTTTATAGAAATCCTATTTGTTAATAATCCAGTAATACTTCTTGGGGTGAAATTCTGTATGGGTGTTTTGCTGTTGTAAATCCTCACTGGAGGATATACATATACATATATATATATATATATATATATATATATTTTTTTTTTTTTTTAATATATTGTATTGATTTTTTTACAGAGAGGAAAGGAGAGGGATAGAGAGTTAGAAATATCGATCGGCTGCCTCCTGCACACTCCCCACTGGAGATGTGCCTGCAACCAAGGTACATGCCCTTGACCGGAATCAAACCTGGGACCCTTGAGTCCAAAGGCCAATGCTCTGTCCACTGAGCCAAACCAGTTAGGGGCTGGAGAATATTTAGAAAGAGTGGAAGGGAGGGGGAACTGAAAAAGGGGGAAGGAGAGAGAGAGCGCGAGAGCACGCGATCCCGAGCCTGAGCCTGATGTGATGTGAGACATGTTGATTTGTTAGGGCTGAATCAAACCTGCAACCCTTCAGTGTGCGGGCCAGTGCTGTAACCACTGCACAGCACTAGCCAGGGCGTGAAATTCTATTTTATTTTGAAAACTCACAAAGACTTCTGATAAAGGTTTATGATGCCCATCATTGCACTTGTTAATCCATTTAGCAAATGTTTATTGACCACGTCTGGGTTATCAGGCACCAGTGATATTAAGAGCCCTTACGCCGGAACAAAAACCAAAGGAAAGAGCACTTCGATTGTTTTTAAAAAGTACCTGAGCGGTCACATAAGTTTGAAGAGTCAGAGTATTATCAGGAGCTTGCAGCTGTCTCTCCCTCGGCCACAGCAGTTTCCTTTGTTAGCCGTGGTCTCCCTGTAGTTGAAATAGTGAGTTTAGTTTTTTGTAACCACAAAGTCAACTTCCAAGGAACACATTTGATCTTCCTTTATATAAGTTGTTTATAAAAATTTAATTATACTTGAGGAATGAGGTATTGTCCATTGTTTATATAGTTACAAAAAACGTCCCCGGACTTATGAGATGTCATCCTAACTTCTGAGTTCACAGAATTTCACTTCTGTCCTGGCCAGTGTGTCTCAGTTGCTTGAGCCTTGTCCCCTGCACTGAAGGACTTCGGGTTCGATCCCCAGTCAGGGCACGGGTTCCATCTCCAGTTGGGGTGCATACAGGAGGCCGATCGATGTTTCTCACATCAATAAAAAACTTTAAAAAAAAAGAAATTTTTCTTCTGAAGTTTAAGAGGAGTTTCACTTCAGCCCTATGTTTGGAAGCTGGGAGTTTTTAATGATGTCATTGGAATTTAATTTTTAGGACCTTTTGTTTTTCAAAGGTCACTGTGGTCATTTTGTTATGTTCATTTTCAAGTCATGATAATTATTGACTTGGAGTAAAACTCCATTTCTCTAGTCTTTGATATTTTGAAAATTCTATTAGCTTATTCTTTTTAGATCAGTGTTTGTTCGTAGATACACTTGATATGTCTATAGTTTTGTTGTTCTGGTTTCGCTATTTTCTCTAGGAAGTTACCTGTGTGTGTGTTTATTTTTAAAATTCAAGTCTTTTTTTGAGTGTGTGTGTGAATGTAAAAATTGGTATTGTTCAGCTAGTTTAAACCTTTTCTTTACAAAGAAATCACCAGTGTGACTACTTCTATATTTCACCATTTCCTGAGCTCACTTTTCTTTATTGTCTTTTGTAGTTTCAGGAAGTCATTGTGCAGAAGATATACACAGGCACACAAATATTTCTTAGCAAGCTCCTTCTTTAAGCCTGTTAATACTTTCCAGAGTTTAAAATAATATTAATTTAGCCGAAACCGGTTTGGCTCAGTGGTAGAGCGTCGGTCTGCGGACTGAAAGGTCCCAGGTTTGATTCCTGTCAAGGGCATGTACCTTGGTTGCGGGCACATCCCTGGTAGGGAGTATGCAAGAGGCAGCTGGTCGATGTTTTCTCTCATCGACGTTTCTAGCTCTCTATCTCTCTCCCTTCCTCTCTGTAAAAATAAATAAATAAATAAATAAATAAATAAATAAATAAATAAATAAATATTAATTTATATCCTCCCATGTTCCCATGTGTATTATGGTTGTTTGGCATAAACAGAAAAACCTGAATTATCTGGAAATTGTAAGCCACCATTTATCTTTGATTTTGGGACTAGTTAGAGGTACATGACTACTGTGGGAGAGTCTTTGTGATGCTGTTTGAAACTCAGCTGCTTAGGTATATTTCACTTTGAACATGTCAAAGCATATACTTTCTACTTCCTGTTCCTGGGATACCTGTAAAATCTCTGTGTTTCAAAAAAAATGAACAACTTGTTAATGGTGGGCAAGGATCTTCTATGTATTCCTTCGTCTCCAGTCTTACGACTGTTTCAATTCAAAGTTAACTTTACATTAAACCTCTTTTCTTTTTTTTTAAAATATATTTTATTGATTTTTGTACAGAGGGGAAGGGAGATAGAGAGTTAGAAACATCAATGAGAGAGAGTCATCGATCAGCTGCCTCTTGCACACCCCCCACTGGGGATGTGCCTGCAACCAAGGTACATGCCCTTGACCGGAATCGAACCTGGGGCCCTTCAGTCCCCAAGCCGACGCTCTACCATTGAGCCAAACCGGTCCCGGCTAAATCTCTTTTCTGAAAAGATAGTTACACCATTTTAATTCATGGAATATTAAGATTTAAATGAATTAATTATAAAGGTTACATCCAATGCTTGAATCCACTCTATAGCATTTCAGCCACATGATTTATTTTCTGTTTAAAGCTTCCAGGGATGGGGATCTAGGGATAACTTAAGGCTATCTAAACCACTTTAGAACTACTTTTTTGGTGTGTTTTTTTAAATCCTCACTGAAGGAGTGAGGATATTTTTTAGAGAGAGTGGAAGGGAGGTGGAAAGGATTGAGGGGGAGGGGGAGAGAGAGAGACTCCCCCGTATGCACCCCGATGGAGGCTGGGGATCAGGTATATGACCCTGACCGGGAATCACGCCAGTGACCCTTCAACATGTGGGCCAGTGTTCTAACCCATGGGCAACACAGGCCAGGGCTGAAATTACTTTTATTGTTACAAAATTCTTACACCTGTTGGACTGAAGTTAGCCTCTTGGTAGCTTACCACCACCTGGTCCTGATTTTGCTCATGAGGGTGACCCAGGACACATGTTAAACTTCCATAGGACAGCCCTTCAGCTTCCCTGAAAAGTCTCTAAGTTTACTGTTGTTGTTTACTAGTGAAGACTTCCAGTGGTCGGCAAACTGCGGCTCGCAAGCCACATGCGGCTCTTTGGCCCCTTGAGTGTGGCTTTTCCACAAAATACCACGTGCACATGTACCATGCGATTGAAACTTTGTGGCCCATGCGCAGAAGTTGATTTCGGCTTCAAAAGAAATTTCAGTCGTTGTATTATTATTATTTTTTTAAACATATTTTATTGATTTTGTACAGAGAGGAAGGGGGAGAGATAGTTAGAAACATCGATGAGAGAGAGAGTCATTGATCAGCTGCCTCTTGCACACCCCCTACTGGGGATATGCCCGCAACCAAGGTACATGCCCTTGACTGGAATCGAACCCGGGACCTTTCAGTCCCCAAGCCGACGCTCTATCCATTGAGCCAAACCAGTCCCGGCAGTTGTTGTATTATTGATATTTGGCTCTATTGACTAATGAGTTTGCTGACCCCTGTCATAGAGGAATTCCTAAGATGCTAATTTTGTGTTTCTTTTTTTAAAAAATATATATATTTATTGATTTCAGAGAAGGGAAGGAGAGAGGTAGAAACATCAGTGATGAGAGAGAATCATTGATTGGCTGTCCTCTTCATGCCCCATACTGGGGATCAAGCCCACAACCCAGGCATGTGCCCTGACCCGGAATCAAACCAGGCACATTGTTTATTTTAAAATTATCATTTTAGGCCCAGCTGGTGTGGCTCAGTGGTTGAGCCTCGACCTATGAGCCAGGAGGTCATGGTTTGGTTCCTGGTCTGGTTACATCCCTGGGTTGTGGGCGCAATCCCTAGTAGGGGCTGTGCAGGAGGCAGTTGATCAATGATTATCTCTCAGCATTGATGTTTCTATCTCTCTCTCCCTCTTCTTCCCTCTCTGAAATCAATAAAAATATATTTAAAAAATAAAGTAATGTATTTTGTGTTCTAGTTGCTAACAAGTGAAATGTGTTTTGTGTTTATATTTCTTCACTCACAGGCAGCTGAAAAAGTTGGATGAAGATAGTTTAACTAAACAGCCGGAAGAAGTGTTTGATGTCTTAGAGAAACTTGGAGAAGGGTGAGTAAACAGAAAACACAGGTAGATGCCGGTCGTTTTCTCCCCCCACACCAGAAGGACATGCACCTTTCTTATGGCAATATTTCGCAAACCTAAGGAGAAGGAAGGGGGTGATGCATATTGGCATTGCTCTGGGAGGGATGGGAGGTAAATTTACATCTTGAAATGCCCTTTTCCTCTTCCCCCATTCACTTTTCTCGAAAGAGTTAGTGATTCTGGTCTTTTTAACACCAAGAACATCTGTTGGGTTTTTTGTTTTGTTTTTGTTTTTTACTCTTGTAGAATCCATGGTTTGCATGATTTTTTATCTATTTATCAGTATAATTATTTTATACTTTATTTAAAATTTTTTGTCAGTTTGACATATTAATTTGTAGCTCATGGCTTCTAATTGAAATGTAATAATTTGTTTCAATTTAAAAAAGAAATTCAGCATTTTCGTTAGTGCAACATTGTGAAATATAGTAAATAAATCAAGAACTATTGCTAGTTTTATAACTTCCTAAAAGATCCAAAATCCCAGGTTGGGTACCAGTGGAATTCCTGAAACACAGATTTGTGAATGAGTTTATAATGTACTGGTGACATGTTATTTAGTAATAGCCAGCGGCCATTATTGACTTTCATGATAATAAAGGTTATATCATAATTATTTTTACTTTTACATATCCTTTTCATTCTTGTGTGTGTGTGTTTATTTATTCTCCTGTAATTAAAGAACATTAAAATATTAGGGATACCCTTTCTTAAGTTTTTGTTGTTGTTAATTTTTAAATAGGTAAGTAATTCTTGTTCAAAATTCAAAAAGAATAAAAACGTACACAGTGAAAAAAATCTGTCCACTAACTCTATCTCTCCACATCCTAGAAACAACCAGTGTAACAGTTTTTTAATGTATACTTCAGAAATAGTTTGTATATATAAGCAAATAAGTGTGTGAGTGTGTGTGTGTGTGTGTGTGTGTGTGTGTGTGTTAAGTCTCTTGGGAGTACTGTTTTAAGAGAAGAACTGAAATATTAATTTTTAAAAATGTCTGTTTACTTTAAGTTCTGATTTTAAATGTCTGTTGTTTTAATTACTGTATACTCTAAAATTATCATTAAATTATTTTTGGGTTTAGTGTCATTTATTTCCCAATGTAGTTCAATAATCATGTTAAACCCTACCCTGGATTACATGGAATAGGCTTTTCATGGATTACCTCCTTGTAAAAAGCATTAGTCATCATCTTTTTGTTAAGTTGGAAAAATAATCTTTGGAATCCAGCACGAAATTCTGCAGAGAAGGAAAGTAAGAGATGATACCATCTGTGCTGCTTAAAGAAAGTCGCAAGATAAATCTGAAGACTGCAAGTTGACTTTGCAGCTTTAAAGGTATGGGAAAAACAACTGTTCTCTATGTCTCTTGCTGCCTTTTTCAGCTTTACCTTGGTGTCCTTGCTGTTTTTTAAAAAAAAAAAAAAAAAAAAAAAAAAAAAAGAATCTAAGGCCCTTAATCTAACAATGATCACAGGTTATGCTGAGTAAGATAAAGAGTGCTAGGCATAACTATGTATCTGACTTGTTTCTTTCATTTTTTAATAGAAGTGTGTTACAACAATAAGGGTATAGACTTTGAAGTCAGACAGACCTGTGTTAAAACCCTTGCTTTGTTCTTTATTAGTCATAATAAATGAGTGAGCTGGGGCAAATTGCTTACTATTTAAAGCTTCACAAGCCTCAGCTATAAAATGGGGATATCAGTATCTCTCTCTCAGGGTTGAGTATTACATGAGATAATGGGGGTAAAGTGCTTGGTACCGTGCTTGGCACATAGTAAGTGCTCAGTAAGTGGGCAACTAGTATTTTATTTTTAACTGTATCAACAAGCATTTTTCAAATTTTCTCATGTCAAATTAAAGTTAAATCTTAGGTCTTCAAATATATTTAGGTGTTCTTTAAGGGAGCTCAGTCTGTATTGATTGGATTTGGAGACTGTGAAAAGAAAACTACAGACAGAAGATAATGTAAGGAAAAACCAAGCTAATTATGCTTATTTTTAATTGTGTTTTAGATCTATGAATATTCTCATCGATGGAAATTTTCCTATCAAAATATTACCAAGGAAAAAGCAAATAATGCTTCAAGTCTTTCTTCCCCTGATATTCTTCCCACAAATGCTTGCATTTCTGTCATCATGCTGAAAGAACTTGATCAAGCCTCACATAACCAGCAAAATCCTGAAGGAAGACCTTAACTGCACTTACTGCTCAATTGCCATGCCATCCTTAAACTGTTCTGGAAAACGAATGGATTGCAAACTTGCACTGACAAGTGCCTTGTGAAATGAGCTTTGGCTAAAGGACGACGTTGGATTCTGGAGCCTGCAGTCAGTCTGTATTTTAAGGAAATTGTGTGGGTCTGTGGACAGTAGAGCCAAAGCTCCAGACCAGGATGACTGGACAGCATTTGGAAAGTGCTTTGAATTAGAGCCTACTGTTTTTCCCCTCCTATTTTACTTATGGGTATATAGTGACTCAAAAAACATCTTGCCTGTGGTTTCATAGCTAGTGAGTGGTAATGTTAAGACTTGTACCTGGTTAATTTGCCCTCAAATATTTCTGTTTTTCTACATTGATCCTTGCCTTGTATGGCTTATGGGAAACACACGCTTCCCACCATCATTGTCAGTTCAAGTTCACTTAGGTTCTGTTGTAGGGACTCGGTCTTAAGGCCATGCCTGTAAGTGAGCATGATTGCTCACTGATAAGCTTTCTAAATCCTCTTTAGATTACTGTAAGTGCAGTATGTAGAATTATGTATCTTAATTGCTCATGTTAGCTATCAGAGTTATGTTTGCTACCAAGATAGCATAGGGAAGCATGGAGAGTATTCTGGTCAACATTGCTGAGGGAGTATATGGAGCTCTCCTTTCCATTTTAAATAGCCTATATAATAAAGAGGTAATATGCAAATTGACCATTACTCCAACACAAGATGGCCAGCAGGGGAGGGCAGTTGGGAGGGACCAGGCCTGCAAGGGAGGACAGTTAGGGGCGACCAGGCTGGCAGGGGAGGGCAGTTAGAGGCAATTGGGCCAATAGGGGAGCAGTTAGGCATTAATCAGGCTGGCAGGGGAATGGTTAAGGGTGATCAGGCTGGCAGGCAGAAGCGGTTAGGGGCAATCAGGTAGACAGGCAAGTGAGCAGTTGGGAGCCAGCAGTACTGGATTGTGAGAGGGATGTCTGACTGTTTAGGCCCAATTCCAGTTGGACATCCCTTGAGGCGTCCCAGATTGGAGAGGGTGCAAGCTGGGCTGAGGGAACCCCCACCTTCACCCCCATGCATGAATTTCATGCACCAGCCGCTAGTACAATATAAGAATAATGAGTGAAAATTAATTTTTAAATATTAGGATACATAGACAGCTATGGATCCATGAAAGAAAAGATATCTGTAATAGTGAGAAAGGGGTAAAGCATGTCTGTCCTTGTTAGAGATTGCAGGTGGGCTTTCTACATGAAGTTGTGAGCTGGGCTGAAGCTCTTCATCTATGAACTAAATCTGAAATAAATTTGTCTGTCACTTGTGCCTGGAGAAAAAGAGGAGATGCTAGTCTGACAATAGGAACTGGGCTTGCACTGCATTTAGGTATGGTCTCTTGAGGGGCCAAACCCCCAAACTTCTAATATGAGATCTGGTTTAAATTGTACAGCCTGGATGACTGGCTGAGGGAACTATGAAACCGACATGGAGTGCTCATGACAGTGAGCATTATATAGAGAAAAATCAATATAAAAGGAAACTCAGAGAGACAAATCTACTGCCATGATATAATCAGCAGACCTAACAAATGGGAGAATTCACACCTAAAGAAGAAATAATGGAGCAGTCTGGAAAGAGACTTAAAATGTTTGCTTATGATTTTCAAAAAGATAAAAGAAGGGAATGACATCCTTAAAAGAATACCAGATTATTAACATAAACAGCCAGCCAGCCCCATTGAATAATAAAAAGTTGGGAATCTTGACAATGAAAACTACAATTATTGAAGTTCTAAAGGCCTAATAAATGGGATGAACAGTAAACTAGAGAAGCTGAAGAGAGAATTTTTGAATTGGAAGAGAGAAGTGGGATCAATTACAAAATGCAGGACAGAGAAATAGTGTTAGAAACCAAGAAGATAGCATGGATTGAGAAAGTAATAAGGTCCAAGAGGAATTCTAGAAGGATATATTAGAAGAGGTAAAGAGAAAATAAAGAGATAATGCTGAGAATTCTGCAGTCTTGAAGAAAGACATGTGCTTTTAGATTGAAGAAGTTTATTAAATACCAAATAAATCAACTGCTAGTTAAATTTTAGAATGTTAAGGATGAAGAGGAAATCTTAAAAGGTACAGAGAGATTACCTGTGAAAAATTGATAGTCTGATGATAGCTGACTTCTAAACAACAATAGAAATTGAATAATTGCAGTAAAAATACTGAGGGAAAGCTATTGTCAAAGAAGAATTCTGTGTCCAGCAAAAGTCATTCCTGAATGAAGGTGAAATAAAGGCATTTTCAGATGGGAACTAGAGTATCAAGAATAACTTTGGCTGAAAGTGATAAAATACCCCACTAACAGTGGCTAACCAATAAGGGCATTTAATAACTAAAAATAATAAATCTGGGAGTGAAAGATTCCAGAACGGTTAATTGGCTTGAATAATGGCTTAGCATTTGTGTAATTATTATCTCAAGATGACCACATTAGTTTCAAGCATCATGTCTCACATGACAGTAACCAAAGCAGGAAAGGAAGCAGCAAGTAAAAATGGGCCTTGTGTGCTTCTCTCTTACCCGGGAAGAAAGTCTTACCCAGAACCCCTTCAGCAGAATTCCCCTCAAATTTCATTGGTCAGAACTAGGTCACTGGCTGAAGGAAACAGGATTACTCCGACTGGCTTCATCCCCTGGGAAAAGGTGTTCACCACCCTAACAAATCAGAGGATTACCTTAGCAAGGAACAAGGGTCTTCTCCATATGGTCATTGGTTACTACTTTACTCTTGAGGGGGAAAAAAAGCTTATGTAATGTTTAAGGATCACTATAGTAGTTTTGCCAATGTAAAGGGTTATGATGGAGTAGAAATTTTTTTATGTGCTTTGCATAGATTTTTAAAAACAAACACATTGAAATGAATATTGAGTACCATTTTGGCAGCTTTGAGCACTCAGCTATTTTGATATAGGTTGCATTGTTATTTTTATCTTTTCTCACCAAGACATTATGAAGAAGTGTGTGTATTTGGGAAACGGGAAAGACAGTTTACTCATTATTTCACTGGCACCCATCAGAATTTCAATGAAGCTATAATCTATTTAAGGTGATGACGGTATGTCATTTGACCATTACAATTATAAAGTAGTTGGTCCGAAGGTTGTGGGTTATTGTTAAGCTGATTAACAATTATCTTGTAAAGTGGTTTGTGTTGTCATTTTACAGATGAGAAAATTGAGGCATAACATGGTTAAAAATTAAAACTATGTTTGTAAATGTGGTAGTGATAGGACTAGATCTCTAGATTCTAAATCTAATACTCTTTTAACCTCCAAATT